ATTGAAGTCTCAATTTAGGAACAACAGGGTTTTATTGCATGTTTTATGTAAATATTAAAATCAACTAACCAGTAGCTATTATACCAAGCAATCTTTGCTGCGGGTGCTGTATCATATCCAGGAAAGCTCACAGACAACTTTCAGAAAAACTAACACACAATTACAGCTGAAGTCAACAAAAGACTTGCCGATTTTTATATCATTAAAAAAAGAAGAAGAAGGGGGAAGCGTGATGGATTTCAGACAACTGCATCCCACCTCATTTACACACTCAGCCCCTCCACCATATTCTGCTGCTACTCTGGAAGATACTGGACAGACGGTGAAGATAACCCATCAAAACAAAGGCGGTGAACTCAAAGAATTAATGCCATTGAGAAAGAGAGAGGTGTAACACGCCTCCTGCCCGCATCTTGTGTTAGCAGCAAACAGCTAGCTACGTCCTCTACTACCTGAAGCTGTAAACTAATTTGTATCATCTGCTTCAAAAAAAAAAAAAAACAAACCTTGCATTAATGCAGTCTAAAGCTCGCGGAGGTCAGAAAAGCTACAAGGTCAGAATGGTAAAGCAGCAATCAATATACTGACAGGAAGCAATAAAACATCGGATTACCAAGAGCTATTAAGCATTCTCCCATCCAAGGAGGCTCACTGCCCTCAGAGGTGGTTTCCCTAAACCTAGAGGCAGCACGACTGGATGGCTCACGCTGAACCACACTTTGTCCAAACCCTATTCTCAACCAGCCACCAGCCCCTCACCGCACTAACAACCCTGCACGGCTCCGGGCTGCGTGAAACCCCAGCACTGATGCGCATTCAGGCCACGCACAACCCTCCCACATATGCTGAAAAAGGACTCAGCCCCGCTCCCTGACCCAACAGCAATGCCATCTTTCCCTTGGGGGAGCACACAGCACCAAGCCCAGCCAAAGACAGGCCTACACCCAAGTTCAAAGACAACCCATTATTAAATTTACAGTTCTGCAAGCCGTTAATTACAGATGATGTCTTTGGCAGCAGAGTGGACACAGAACTCTTATGACCATGGATGGGAAGGAGTGGGTTTTTTTCATTCTTATAGATTAAAAAAAGAAAAAAAAAAAAAAACAACCAAACCTCCAAAACAATGAGACTAGCTAAACCATTATTTAAAGACTGAAGAAACCGCTTGATAATTAATTCCTCAAATAGTCCAATCTTTAGTTTGACAAAAGACTGAGAAACTATTTGATTGTAGTGCTGGAGATGCATCACAGCAGAAAGTATGGAGAAGACTAAAAGGCTCTAAAACAGCTGTGAGAGTCATCAAAAGTGAAGGAGATGGGTAAAAAAAAAAAAAAAAAAGAAACAAAAATCAAAATAGGGTACATTTTTTTTTTTTTTTAAAATAAACTGATTAAGAACAACACATACAGAAAAGAGTCTTCCCTGCCTTCGGAAGTCTCCAAGACTGAAACCTGACAAAAAGTGGAATTCCCCTTCTTCTGCATCTTTGTGGAGCTTGTAAAAGACTGATCAGGCTCCAGCAGGGCTATCGGGTGAGCCCCCAGCCAGGTGTATCGCATTAGGGCAACGATGAAAGCCTAGAACTGGCCAGAAGTTTTACCAGGTGAAGATACCACATTCCTACAATCTTCACTCTCCTCCCACACTCGAGAGGAGCAACAGAAAGAACCCAGGAAAAAATGCAGTCCTACCCAATTGGATCAAAAAGATAATCTCCACTCTGAGCTTAAAAAGAAAAGGCCACGATCTGAAACGTTCCTCAGTGGTACAGTGAAACGGCTGTTTCCTAGGAAAATGTTCTTTTTTGACAAAGTCTCACTTCCCTCAGGAAGAAAAATACAGTAATCAGACAAGTGCAACATGAGAGAAGTACACAAAATAATATCAAATTGCTCGTCAGAGCTTGTGCGGGCTGCCATGTAAATCGATACAACATGGAAATAAATACAACAGATTTGAATGACACTGCTAATCTGACAGTTTAGATCAATAAAGCAAACCACTATATTAGCAGCATTTTTCATTTCAAGAAACTAAACACATTAAAACTATTCAAATGAATGGATACACAGGCATTTACACATGCTTTAATAAAGCCTGAACAGCTTTTATTTGTGCCCCTTGTGAAAGCCTTTACAACCAGTCATCCCGCCTTGCTGCAGCACTAAGAAGGAGCCCTACAAATTCATGATACTCTCTAAACATCTCTAATAGCAAGAGCATGCTGTACTGCCCTCCTCTCCAGGGTTTAAGAGCTGATTGGAAACCTGAAATATGCAGGTGATCATCTCAACGTGAACAAAAACATCCAGATAAAACCATTCAGCCCTCATTTAGAAATCCTCCGCCACAGAACGTATTCATTAAGGGTCCTGTTAAGCAGTTTCCCTACGTCTGTGTGTGCTGGTTTTGACTGGGGTAGCGAGTGAGCGGCTGCGTGGTGCTGAGTTGCTGGCTGGGGTTAAACCACAACAGCCCCTCTTGGTGCCCAACG